CAGGAAAGAGATGAAGAAGTGACATTGCAAGGCATGAGTACTTTCACAGGGAAAAAATACTGGGTCCTCAAAGTCCCCCTGACCCTCTGAGGAAGGGGTGAGCAGAACCAGGGGCTGGGACCAGAATCTTGGCAAGCTCCAAACCAGGCACCAGGCGAGCGTTTTACATCATGGAGGAGCCACAGAGAGGAAGGGACAGATGATTCTCCATCTCCTCGTGTTTTCAAACCAAGGCTAAATGCTTTTTTGGGAAAACAGGCCTTAAGTAATCAATTTGTTGGATGTTACAAAGGACATGGAAGGAAATGAAATTGCCTGTAATAGAGATATCAAACTGCCTGATCTAAGAGCCTTTATCAAATTTAAGTTGAACAGGAAAATAACAGACTTTTTGTGTTCTAGCAGAACATCCAGGAGAAAGATGAGATCTAAAAGCACATTTAGCATTTAAATGTAATAAAATTAATACACTTTTCAGGAAGCCTTTTAGCTTGATAGCCCAGGAAACTAAAGCCTTTTTTTTTCCATTCAAAATGCATCTCCTGAGCAGTGGATGCAGGTTACCAATATCCCCCCCGGGCCAGGGGACATCCATAAGAATATCCAGCCCCACAGGGCCAGTTCCCACCCTGGCTCAGGAAAAACAGGAGTCTGTGCCCACCCCACTGGTCTGGGTGGAAGGCTCTGTCCTTACTGAGCCTGGACCAAACCCCTTCTTTCCACCATAATCACAGAAATATTGAGTTTTTAAAAAAGTTTCAGTTCATGCAGCAACCTTTTCAATGTTTTCCCTGAGAAAGAGCAACCTCAGATCTGCCAGTTCCTCTGCCTCGGTTACTGCCCAAAAGGATCTCAAAACTCCTGCAATAACTAGGGATTTTTTTCATTTGTTGTGGTTGAGCCTTCACAGGCAGATCTTACTTCTTCCCCTCAGCTCCAACAGATATTTCTTTGCCTTTTTGTATTCCTGAGTAAAGCCATCTAGAAATTTTAAGAGAAAGTTTTCTTTTGGAAGCTGTGATTGAATCAAAATATTCAATAAGAATGTGTTGTTTAACGCACGCACACACAAAGACGAGAATTTAAAGTAATTCTTTCCAACAAGGTAGGCGTGATGTTCTCCATTTCTAATGTTAGTTGGCAGGTTCTGGGAAGAAAAACTGTTTAAAGCTTGAATGAATTTATTTGCATTCATATTTTATGTAAATAATCAAAATGATACAGCTGAAATAAGAGTTTTAGTGGCTCTAAAATTAATGTTCCTTAAATTCCATTTCACAGGAAATTAAGTTTCTGATTCAAGCCAAAAGGGAAATTTTGAAAGGGCCAAATCTCCTGTGAGCCAGAGAGGGAGATTTCAGCAGGTCCATCCTGTACTGGCAGTGCCAGGGGGTGCTGGGCACCCGGTTGCTTCTTCCCAACTGGAGGGAAGTCGTTGGCATTTTCACAAATCTCGTGAATCCATCTGTTTTCCCCAAACACACCCAAGCTTCTTTGATCATCCAGGAAACCATATGTTCCGGTGTTACTAATCCGTGCCTGGCCCACATTTCCCAGTTTCCCTTTGGCTGTGGTGGAGGTGATGGCGCAGAGAAGGAAAGCCACAAAAGAAGGTGGCCACATACTCCATCACCTCCCCTGATGTCCATTTGGCAGAATGAACCAATATCTTTGGCACACAAGGAAAACCAATTAAAAAAGCCAAGTGACTGTTTTGTCCTTGTACAGAATCATAATGTCTGGGTTGGAAGGGACCTTTCAGATCATTTTGTTCAACCATCAAGCTAACTTTGATATGAACCATCACTAACCCATGTCTCTAAGCACTATGTCAACCTGGCTTTTCAATACCTCCAGGGATGGTGCCTCAACCACTGCCCTGGGCAGCCTCTTCCAATGTGCAACAACCCTTTCTGTGTCAAAATTTTTCCTCATATCCAATCTGAACCTCCCCTGGTGCAACTTGAGGCCATTTCCTCTTGTCCCATGGCCTGTTCCTTGGGAGAAGAGACCGACCCCCCCTGGCTACACCCTCCTTTCAGGGAGTTGGAGAGAGCCAGAAGGTCTCCCCTCAGCCTCCTTTTCGAGGTATGAAGGTATTTAGTTCCCATTGGGGAACATCACTGTGAGCCAGGCACACGTACCAAAGAGAAATAACACACACCCCCCTTCCCCGGCTCATTTCATAATGTCACAGCACTTGGAATTCTCTCACAGACTGAGCTCTCTCACTGCTTATTATTTTTTTAAGAACACCAGTTAGGAGGGAATTTTTAAAGAATCCAGAACAGGGTTCATCAAAGTATCGCTACTTTTTTGCAGATCAGAACACCAACATTCAGGATAGCCAAAAAACCCCACATCCGAATTAACTTTTTATGTGAAGAAAAGAAAAAAGTTTAAAGAATTTATTGATCACAGCTGTCAAGTATCCATGCAAGGAAGGAATTCTCTGGCAGCAGATGGGCCTATAATAATATTAATATCCTCACCACCTGGCTCTTAATCCATGCTTTTCATTATTAGATCATAAAGCACTTTACGAATGAGGTCAAGCATCTAGTGGGAAAAGGCAGAATACGATGCAATGGTGAGGCATGCTCCATTTGTTCTGTTATCAATCAATCACAGCAGCAGGTGATTAAGAAAGCCAGGAGTTTGCCTGGTGTTCTCCATCACTTCTTGTTGCAAAGGGAGGACCTCAAATGTGTTATAGTTTAAAAAAAACCAAAACACAACAAACTTAAAATAATTATAAGGTGAGGTTGTTTGGATGTTAAGAAAGCCAGGAGTTTGCCTGGTGTTCTTCATCACTTCTTGTCGCAAAGGGAGGATCTCAAATGTGTTACGCCAGAAGGTCTCCCCTCAGCCTCCTTTTCGAGGTATGAAGGTATTTAGTTCCCATTGGGGAACATCACTGTGAGCCAGGCACACGTACCAAAGAGAAATAACACACACCCCCCTTCCCCGACTCATTTCAAAATGTCACAGCACTTGGAATTCTGTCACAGGCTTCACTCTCACAGACTGAGCTCTCTCACTGCTTATTATTTTTTTAAGAACACCAGTTAGGAGGGAATTTTTAAAGAATCCAGAACAGGATTCGTCAAAGTATCACTACTTTTTTTGCAGACCAGAACACCAACATTCAGGATAGCCAAAAAACCCCACATCCGAATTAACTTTTTATGTGAAGAAAAGAAAAAAGTTTAAAGAATTTATTGATCACAGCTGTCAAGTATCCATGCAAGGAAGGAATTCTCTGGCAGCAGATGGGCCTATAATAATATTAATATCCTCACCACCTGGCTCTTAATCCATGCTTTTCATTATTAGATCATAAAGCACTTTACGAATGAGGTCAAGCATCTAGTGGGAAAAGGCAGAATACGATGCAATGGTGAGGCATGCTCCATTTGTTCTGTTATCAATCAATCACAGCAGCAGGTGATTAAGAAAGCCAGGAGTTTGCCTGGTGTTCTCCATCACTTCTTGTTGCAAAGGGAGGACCTCAAATGTGTTATAGTTTAAAAAAAACCAAAACACAACAAACTTAAAATAATTATAAGGTGAGGTTGTTTGGATGCAGTAGGTGCAGAAAACAAGGTGAACACACAAATGCCTCTTTTCCCTAAAAATCTACAATGTTTCCCATTGGCTCCAGCCTACCCACCTACCCAATTAGTCAAGCAAATCTTGTACATCCTTTCTGGATGCCTGGAGAGAACCCCTCTCCAAATGATTTTTTTCATCTTGAGCTCATGGTTCAATTTCCTATTTGGTAGGTATTAAACGAGTAAGATCCTTTCCATCTCTCCAAATGCATGTGAAAGGAGCCAGATTTTTTGTCCCTGTCATAACGAGCTGCTGAAGCTGCAAACCCACAGTGCTTAATGCTTCCTGATGCCTTCAGCAGACATCAGATTTGATGAGCCATAGACTCAATGTTCAGGGAGACCAACCTGATCTCCAACAGCCTGAAGGACATCTCGGCTGGAATTCAAGCACAGGGGCAGGTCAAGCAGCGAGATTCTGCACAGGTGAAGTCAACACAGCCTCTTGGGCAACAGCACTTCCAGATGTCAGGTCTACCAACCAGATGTTTTTAGAAACCTGAAGGTGGAGGGAAGGGCCATCAAATGAGTGATCATCTTTTTAAATGGATCAATGGACCTTAGTCATGGTTCTGCCACAGGCCGGTGACCAGATGGGAAAAACTCAACACACCAGACACCTCAAACCCAGTTACTTGAAGGTTTAACAGGTTCTTGAATTCTTCAGCATGTCTGCCTTCCCCCCACCTCAAAAAAATTAAAATCACATATTTTCAATTTTGCTAAAAAAGAAACCATCTGAGTGTTACTCTCCTGCAGCTGCTCCTTGGACAAAAAGCTGTTGGTAGAGCACCCACTTCAGGTTCTTGAATTCTTCAGCATGTCTGCCTCCCCCCCCATCTCAAAAAAATTAAAATCACATATTTCAATTTTGCTAAAAAAGAAACCATCCTGAGTGTCACTGTCCTTGGACAAAAAGCTGTTGGTACAGCATCCATTCGGGCACTTGCTGGTTGCATGAATGGTCTGGTCTAAAAACTCTCCAGAGGAGAGACCACATCTATCCCTCTGTGAAGTGCATAACAGGCTCTTCACCCTAAGTAAGCATTCGAGATCTATTGTAAAATTAATAATATATGTAGATAGAGGGTGCTTGTTATTCAGAACAGCCTGTGGCTACATCATTAGGAGGTGACAGAACCCATATTGCTCGAAAAGCAGCAGCCTGAGACACCGAGCCCTGCCCAGCCCAACACATCCAAAGGTTTCAAGGCCCTGCGTTGCTTCAACACACACTTTTAAAGTTAGTGGTTGAGTAACTTTGCAAGTGAACTCCAGTCCCATCGGGAATCACAGGCCTACACAAACAAACCAAAGTCCAAGAAGAGATAATGGCCTGGGCAAAGGGCAGAACGCGGAGGCAGGAAACTAAAAAAGGCAGAAAGCAGGATAAATAAGGTCCACGCTTGGAGATCTGAGGGATCTTACACGGTGGCCACGGAGGAAAATGAGCGCGAGTTACATATTCTCGGAGTTCATGAGGGAGCTGCCTGGCTACGTTCTCTTTGGTGGCATCTTTATGCCGGTGACTTTACTCCTGCTGCTGCTCATTGCCCATTTCAGGATCCAGCTTCCCCGACTCATTTCAAAATGTCACAGCACTTGGAATTCTGTCACAGGCTTCACTCTCACAGACTGAGCTCTCTCACTGCTTATTATTTTTTTAAGAACACCAGTTAGGAGGGAATTTTTAAAGAATCCAGAACAGGATTCGTCAAAGTATCACTACTTTTTTTGCAGACCAGAACACCAACATTCAGGATAGCCAAAAAACCCCACATCCGAATTAACTTTTTATGTGAAGAAAAGAAAAAAGTTTAAAGAATTTATTGATCACAGCTGTCAAGTATCCATGCAAGGAAGGAATTCTCTGGCAGCAGATGGGCCTATAATAATATTAATATCCTCACCACCTGGCTCTTAATCCATGCTTTTCATTATTAGATCATAAAGCACTTTACGAATGAGGTCAAGCATCTAGTGGGAAAAGGCAGAATACGATGCAATGGTGAGGCATGCTCCATTTGTTCTGTTATCAATCAATCACAGCAGCAGGTGATTAAGAAAGCCAGGAGTTTGCCTGGTGTTCTCCATCACTTCTTGTTGCAAAGGGAGGACCTCAAATGTGTTATAGTTTAAAAAAAACCAAAACACAACAAACTTAAAATAATTATAAGGTGAGGTTGTTTGGATGCAGTAGGTGCAGAAAACAAGGTGAACACACAAATGCCTCTTTTCCCTAAAAATCTACAATGTTTCCCATTGGCTCCAGCCTACCCACCTACCCAATTAGTCAAGCAAATCTTGTACATCCTTTCTGGATGCCTGGAGAGAACCCCTCTCCAAATGATTTTTTTCATCTTGAGCTCATGGTTCAATTTCCTATTTGGTAGGTATTAAACGAGTAAGATCCTTTCCATCTCTCCAAATGCATGTGAAAGGAGCCAGATTTTTTGTCCCTGTCATAACGAGCTGCTGAAGCTGCAAACCCACAGTGCTTAATGCTTCCTGATGCCTTCAGCAGACATCAGATTTGATGAGCCATAGACTCAATGTTCAGGGAGACCAACCTGATCTCCAACAGCCTGAAGGACGTCTCAGCTGGAATTCAAGCACAGGGGCAGGTCAAGCAGCGAGATTCTGCACTGCCCCCAGGTGAAGTCAATGCAGCCTGTTGGGCAACAGCACTTCCAGATGTCAGGTCTACCAACCAGATGTTTTTAGAAACCTGAAGGTGGAGGGAAGGGCCATCAAATGAGTGATCATCTTTTTAAATGGATCAATGGACCCTAGTCATGATTCTGCCACAGGCCGGTGACCGGATGGGAAAAACTCAACACACCGAACACCTCCAACCCAGTTACTTGAAGGTTTAACAGGTTCTTGAATTCTTCAGCATGTCTGCCTTCCCCCCACCTCAAAAAAATTAAAATCACATATTTTCAATTTTGCTAAAAAAGAAACCATCTGAGTGTTACTCTCCTGCAGCTGCTCCTTGGACAAAAAGCTGTTGGTAGAGCACCCACTTGGGCACTTGCTGGTTGCATGAATGGTCTGGTCTAAAAACTCTCCAGAGGAGAGACCACATCTATCCCTCTGTGAAGTGCATAACAGGCTCTTCACCCTAAGTAAGCATTCGAGATCTATTGTAAAATTAATAATATATGTAGATAGAGGGTGCTTGTTATTCAGAACAGCCTGTGGCTACATCATTAGGAGGTGACAGAACCCATATTGCTCGAAAAGCAGCAGCCTGAGACACCGAGCCCTGCCCAGCCCAACACATCCAAAGGTTTCAAGGCCCTGCGTTGCTTCAACACACACTTTTAAAGTTAGTGGTTGAGTAACTTTGCAAGTGAACTCCAGTCCCATCGGGAATCACAGGCCTACACAAACAAACCAAAGTCCAAGAAGAGATAATCACAGGGGCAGGTCAAGCAGCGAGATTCTGCACAGGTGAAGTCAACACAGCCTCTTGGGCAACAGCACTTACCTTTGGAGGTCCCTTCTGGCCTGGGCAATTCTATGATTCTATAAAGAATTTTATGAAGCTGTACTGCATTTTAGACGATTTTCCACCTAAAAAACGTGCCGGTGACTTTACTCCTGCTGCTGCTCATTGCCCATTTCAGGATCCAGCTGTCAGAAGGTGAGTCAGGCTTGGGGGTTGGCAAGCAAAGCTTCTCCTTCAATAGGCTACAGTTAGGCGTGTTCCCTTGACTGAGCTGAAGGGAACCATGATCATAAGTGACAGGACGAGGGGGTTTAGAAAGGCCTGAAGTGACAGGACGAGGGGCAATGGCTTCAAGCTGGAGGGGAACAGATTTAGACTGGAGATTAGGAGAGGGTTCTTCACTGTGAGGGTGGTGGAGCACTGGAACAGGTTGCCCAGGGAGGTGGTTGAGGCCCCATCCCTGGAGATATTCAAGGAGAGGCTCGATGAGGCCCTGGGCAACCTGGTCTAGTTGGGGGTGTCCCTGCTGACTGCGGGGAGGTCGGACTAGATGGCCTTTGGAGGTCCCTTCTGGCCTGGGCAATTCTATGATTCTATAAAGAATTTTATGAAGCTGTACTGCATTTTAGACGATTTTCCACCTAAAAAACGTGACAGGAGTTTGTTTAGAACTTGGATTGAACCCTCACTTAAGCCTCCATAGTTTCACATACTATACTGTAGAAGATTATACTATACTACTGTATAGAATGAAGAACATGGAGAAAAATGGAGGTGCTCCAAAATGGAGAAAAATAACAGGGTAATTAAAGTACAGACCATTTTCCTCTGTGCTTTCACCGTAAAAGTCTCCAGTGAGACAGGTAACAGCAGCTACACCCTGTGAGCAGTTGGTCATTGAGTGTTCTGTGTGTCCGTGTTTTTTCACAGGTACATATTTGCTTTTACTTCGTACCCGAAGGCAGGGAGCTCCTTTTAGAGGGGAAACCCCTGTAGGTCAGATTGTCCAGTTTTAAGGTGGGATCTTCACACCCTCCAGGTCTGGGTCCCGGACTCAGATTCACAAATTCTGCTCTTATTTTAGGCTTCCAGCTGCCAAGTTCAGCCCTGGCTCATGTTCAGATCAGAGTCCTCATCCTTTCTCTCCTTCAGCCCTTCCAAAATATGTTCCTCATGTTCCTAAGCTTGTTCCTTGGGTTAGGAGGAACCTTTGGAACCTCTTCTCCACAGGGGGATGTCGGAGGAGCTGTGATGACATCCTAGATTTCCTCTGTAAACTTCAGGTGCTTCTTGCTACAGCTTGCCCCTGCCTTGGAGAAGGGTCCGTGATGCAGGTGCTTCAGCCCTAGCAGCTCACCCATGATCTTAAAAGAGACATTTGGACAATCCTGACCACAGGGCTCTGCAGATAAGCAGAGACATTCCCCCTGAGGTGCATCAGCCCCACAGGAGAAGGCCAGATTTACCCACCACTGCCAGGCTAGGGAAGAACCTTTACCTAGATGCCACATCAAGAACTGTAACTTGGATGTTAATTAAGCTTGCCCTACCCTGCAGCTTTCTGAAATCCCAAAAATGAGGCAATTTGACACAATTCTATAATGTAAGGAAGATCACACTTACCCAGAAATGTGGAATGAATTCCCTTCCTACTTGGTATAAGATCTCCAGGCGTTTAGACCCGAGGCTTTAATGGAGAGGAAGGGGGTCTGTTTGCAGACAAGGGTACCCCACAAGTGGCCTTCAGGCTGCTAAAAATCAAATGTTTCCTGTTCAAGATGTGCTTTCTGATGCTGAATTAATCCACAAGGGAAGGGCATCCTGCACGCCTGAGCCAGCTCTGCCCTGGGTTATCAATTACCCTTCAAGCAAGGTGCTGACAGCTTGTCACACGCGAGCAAACAGCCACCCCAAAAATGGTGTGGGGACAAAACAGGGTACAGTTCAAAATCCGTGAGGGAATAGGAAGGTTAAGTATTGAGAGATCTTTCTTGGAAGAGGCTGAAATGGAAGCTAAGGAAATTATTGCATTGGAGTTTGGATAAAAGCAGGGATTCTCCCTTTCTGTTTCCATCAGTGATAGTTATTAATTACTACGAGATAATACTGAGATGCTGGAGATGCTACTGACTCATGGCTACCTGGTGATGCTCTTGTTTTTCTATTCATGCCAGGATCGAGCAAAACAGGTGTGTTACAGATTCTATCAGTTCAGGCATTTTGTTGAGGTTCAGCCAATACTTTCCTCAAGCCAAAAGAGTCCTCTGAAACCCCCCCCAGGTGTTGGCATTCATGCTGCTCCAGCAACTGCTGAACCTGACCAGCCTGCCCTACTTCACAGTCCCCAAATCCTCCTCAGCTGCACTTTCTGCAGGTCTGTAAAGAACCTGCAGGACCAGGTGACAGATCCTCCTCAGCTGCACTTTCTGCAGGTCTGCAAAGAACCTGCAGAACCAGATGTTGACAGGCTGAGAGAGTTGGGGGTGTTCAGCCTGGAGAAGAGAAGGTTCTGGGGAGACCTTAGAGCCCCTTCCAGTATCTGAAGGGAGATACAGGAGAGATGGGAGGGACTCTTGATCAGAGAGTGGAGCCATAGGATGAGGGGGAACGGTTTTAAACTGAAAGGAAGAAATTCTCTGCTGTGAGGGTGGTGAGAGCCTGGCCCAGGTTGTCCAGAGAAGCTGTGGCTGCCCCATCCCTGGAGGGGTTCAAGGCCAGGCTGGATGGGGCTTGGAGCAACCTGGTCTGGTGGGAGGTGTCCCTGCCCAGGGCAGGGGGTTGGAACTGGATGATCTTTAAGGTCCCTTCCAACCCAAACCAAAACATTCTATGTTTTTTTTTTAAATCTTCCCTTAAAGCACAGAATTTTTAGCTTTGGATTTGTAGTGAGTTTAAGTAAGCAACGATTTCCTAAGATTAGCAATCCAGGCTGTAAGAGAGAGAGGTGAATGGAGTACTTGACAGACTAATTTGCCAAAGGAACATTGCTCTCCCTTTCTGTAACCAAGAAGAATGCTGGAAAGGCCTCACCTGGCTGTTCAGTGCCTGAGGGAAGGAGATTCTCACAGATGCTCCAGCTCAGAGAATCTCCAGGATTCTCCAAAGGATGCGAGATGAATTCCCATCTGCTTGAAACGTTGGGCATCGTAGTCCCAGCTCTACCTCCAAGCCCTTCTTTGGCTTGTTCTGAGCCGGCCAGAGTCCAACCTCTCCCTCCAGGCTCCAGCCAACACACATGGATCATCCCCAGCAGCTCTCCCTGAACCAGCTTCAGCTGAAGACCATCAGGCAAAGCCAAACAACTCACCACAGACAAATACAACAGACTCCTTTCAATGCCAGCCCTCCCTCTACTGACAAAACTTCAGAAATTCTGCAGGCTTCAGGTGACTATTTCCTTAGACATCTTTTTTTTAAAAAAAAGAAAACCCCATTTGCATTACTAAAAGCAGGGCTGTCTTGTTTCATTGTCAAATAAGCATTTCATTTCCCTCTGTGTAGCTCCATGTAAGCATATTAAACCCCGCCTTAATGTCATCCCGTCAAGATTCATTAAAAATAAACCTAAAACTAACAAACCAACCAGCATTCCTGTCCCCTGAGCAGGTAGCCATGACAAAGGATTCCGTGACAAAGTGTTGGAAGGCTTTCTTCTAGAAGCATGATGCTCTGATACCAACCTCCTACTTGGGCACCTTCAGTTTCCTAAGATATGTTCTTACTAATCTGTGCCAGCTCCTTTTTCTTTATAAAAATTCACCACTGCAAATTAGTACGTTCTTACAGGATTTTGTGTTGTTTGGTGTATTTTTCAGTTAACGAGGAACTGGCCGCGGCACGGGACCCCGCAAAAGCCTTCCCGAATTACCAGAGACCCAGGAGACTTGGAGCAAAGGAGAAGAAATGCAAGAACTGAAGGACGTTCAAGGGAGTCTCACGTCTCGGGAAGCCAACTTAAACCCAGGACTCAGCTCTGCAGGGTTAAAAATAACCGGCTGTTGGTAAATACCACGGAGGACAACAAAAGGGAGCGGAGAGAAATGGCTGCTGCCATCCAAAAAGGTCTTAAAACAATTTGCTTTCTCGCACGGGGCCATGCAAGCAGTGATTTATGCGACTCCTTGGACACCAGAGACATCCTGCATCGTCCTGTATCAGCTCCTTCACAAGACACAGGATTTGGGGGGAGGGAAAGCACCTTTCTCATGAGCCCTTCCCCATCTGACTGAGAATAAAGCGATATAACAAGCTCCCGAGGGAGCCAGGTTCGCCTACATGAGGCAGCCAGTCATTTTAAATCAAAGATGCACAAACAGCAAGTTCACACCAAGCACTGGGATCCAGGAAATGGAGAGGGGTGATGAAGGGAAACTGCCTTTTTTTCTTTTTTTTTTTGTTACCTCATATACTTTGGGAAAGATTGTAGGGTGTGTAAAGGATGCTTTCCATAGAATTGGGAAGCGAAATACAACAGTGATGGGAAACAAGAGGACTTCTCTGTGCCGAAGTTTGAAACCATGAAAAGATTCAGCCAGTATTCTGTAAAGCAGTTATTATTCTAGTTTAAGGGCAAAGGGATTTCTCAAATAAATAAAAAAAAATAAAACAAAACCAAAACAATGTAAGTATGGAGATTTCTTTTTTTTTTGCGTGTCAGTTGTCACACACGTGGCCATGACCACAGGTTTAAGAAACACCATAATTTATCAAAGTCTATGAGAAGGAAACAGGAGTCAAACAGAAAGTACCTTTACTGTAACTAACAGTCCTCTATGAGGACTCTATGAGCGGCTGAAGGAGCTGGGACTGTTTAGTTTGAGGAAGAGGAGGCTGAGGGGAGACCTCATCACTCTCTACAACTACTTGAAAGGACACTGTAGAGAGGTTGGTGCTGGTCTCTTCTCACAGGTAATTAGTGACAGAACGAGAGGGACCGGCTTCAAGCTCCAACAGGGTGGGTTTAGACTGACCGCGCGGAGAGCGGCAGCGGTGAGTGCTGCGGCTTTAAATTTGACCTAGACTGAGACGGAGAGGGGGTTTCCCGGAGGCGGGAAGCCGAGGGAGAGCGGGGAGACCCGAAACCAGTCGGGAATCTCGCGGGGGAGCCGAGAGGCTGACGTAGCTGGGGGCGGCCATAGCCGCAACAGGCTCCGAGCGCGTGCCGGGGCGCGCGTGAGCAGAGCAAAAAAGACCGAAAGAAGACCACGCGGAGAGCGACAGCGGCAGCGGTGAGTGCTGCGGCTTTAAATTTGACCTAGACTGAGACGGAGAGGGGGTTTCCCGGAGGCGGGAAGCCGAGGGAGAGCGGGGAGACCCGAAACCAGTCGGGAATCTCGCGGGGGAGCCGAGAGGCTGACGTAGCTGGGGGCGGCCATAGCCGCAACAGGCTCCGAGCGCGTGCCGGGGCGCGCGTGAGCAGAGAGGCGGGGATATTAGCGCGCAGGCGCACGTGCGCAGAGCGTGAGGGAAGCGGCCCTCAGGTGTTGGACAGAGCGCGCGGAGGGAGGGGGCGGAGCGGGGACTCGTGCGCGGGACGGAAAGGGAGAGTCTGATGGGGGGAATAGTCCGGTCAGACTCAAGAGAGGAAATGGCGGCCAAACGCCCCAAAGGCCCTGTGAGGAAAAATGTAGGAACTCAGACCGAGCTCCCCCGCAAAGATGCAGCCGTGCAGGGCCCTGACTGCACCGAATGCCTGAGCCTGGCTGCAGTACCACAGGGACCCAGGGACACCTGTTGTGTGAGATGTGAGCAGATAAATGACCTGCTCAGACAGGTGGTAGAACTGCGTGAAGAGGTGGAAAGGTTAAGATGCATTAGAGAATACGAAAGCAAAATAGACTGGTGGAGCCATACCCTGGGACAAAGGCAGCATGATGAGGCTCTAATAAAAGTAGATGATCCCCTCCTGCCCTGTCACCAGGCAGAGAAAGGGGACTTAATGGAAAGGGGGGAATGGAGGCTGGTCCTCCCTCAGAGAGGCAAGCGGAACCCTCAACAGCCTCCCTCACACTCCCAGTTACAATTGCAAAATAGGTTTGGAGTCCTGGATTTTGGGGACGAGGCAAAGGAGACTGGAGAGGACGATCTCCCCAGTGAGGCACCCTGGATGGGTCACCCACCCAGGAGCCTCAAGACCTCATCAACAAAAAAAAAAGGAGGGTGATTGTAATAGGTGACTCCCTTCTCAGTGGAACAGAGGGCCCAATCTGTAGGCCAGACCCGTCCCACAGGGAGGTTACCTGCCTCCCTGGGGCCAGGACCAAGGATATACAAAGAAAAATCCACTCCCTGGTTCAGCCATCAGATGATTACCCTCTCCTGATATTTCAAGTGGGCAACGATGAGGTGACTACCAAAAGCCTCAAGGCAATGAAAAGGGATTTCAGAGCTCTGGGACAACTGGTCAAGGGGTCAGGAGCACAGGTGGTGTTCTCTTCTATCCCACCAGACATAGGGATGGACGAAGGGATAAGTAGGAAGAAACAACAAATCAACTCATGGTTAAAAGACTGGAGTAAACAGCAGGACTTTGGCTTCTTTGAACACAGAATGATCTACAGGTCACCAGGCATGCTTGCAGCAGATGGGGGAAGCCTAACCCAAAGGGGAAAAAGCATAATGGGACAGGAGTTAGCACGGCTTATTAAGAGAGCTTTAAACTAGATTTGAAGGGGGA